CTACAACTCAGAAGACACACATCCTCATTAGACGTTTATTAGGATTCTTTAGACAGGATACGTTCCCATCACTTTGTATCATTCACGCCTCAGATATTTTTCGTAGGTCCTTTAAGAAACATAAACGTATCGAAAATACTGTTCACGTACACAAACGCCAATTTCAAAACCTGATAGTTTTCAATTTCACTGACAATGTCAGAAATTTATTTCATTTTTAAACTCCGTGGTAAACACACAAATAAGAGCATATGAAATAAATTCGTTCGAAAGTGAAGCAATGTCGGCAGTTCTCCTTATCCTAATAATACATTAGGAATATAAATCCGAAAGATGATGAGCTATGGACATTAATAGGTGACTCTTCCAACGTTAAAAAATGAGTCGAATATTAGAATTCCTTTTATGCTGAACTTTCCAGAAAGAAGCTCGCACTCCTTTTGTATTGAGGCTGTTCTCATCACAATGCTTTGGGCTTTTCGACGTATCTTTTCTGTCTACCTCGCCTTATGCCCAGCCGATCTCTTTCTCGTCGCTACCAGCACCCCCTCGTTTTACTGTTTGAAGTCTACTCAGCTTCGTACATCTTGACTTTCATTCGATTTCCTTTGATCCAACCGCTTTTCTCGATTTCAAGTGGTTAAGTCAGCCGAGCACCAAGGAACCACTCAGATTCCGCTGTTGTGTATACACGCCTCTACCGAGGGCTTAACGCCTTGGTTGCCGTTCCGAATATCTGCTATCTGAGTGGGACATCTTTTCGTTTCGAGAGGTGTACCGGGAAATGTGTGCAGATGAGGGATTTTGGTTGGTTGCCTGACTGCAAATGCCGAGTTGGCTGGTTTCCTATACTATGTAGTTGTCATGGAGAAGTGTTTAGTCGTTATATCATAGCTCCTTCTACCTTCTTACGTACAACTCTCCGTTCACCTTACTCTCTGTCTTCATTTAATTTTCTCAACTTCTCTCATATTTCTCTTACAAGCTTATTGCCAACATTTTAATATTATTTTCCTTTTCGCATCTTCTGTTACTAAGCCAACATATTTCCTGTCTTTCTTTTCATTTTACGTTTTTCAAAGGTTATTTTGATGCACAGTACTGTACACTGTACAACATACATTTTGTTTAGTCTGAACGACAGGGTCCATACACCATAATAACCATGGATATCGATGGACGGAGAACTTGTATAGACACTCAGTTCTGTCTACCCCATTCTTTCGTTATTGATTTGTGTTTGTGTTGATTTTCGGAAGGTTTTAGGACGCCCGAATGTGTTTAAACCTTCCAGATATCGACCACACCTGAAGCCTTCCTCACTAACCATTCAGGCTGCTAGACGAGGGTAGCAGCTACATGTCTCAGTGCAGCCATGTTCTGTTTGGATTCAATTTTACTTTGCATGCCAATCCTGAGCAAACAACAGCTACATGATCCAGTAGCTGTTTCACTTCCTCCCGACCCTTAGCAGCTTTCCCGTCTGAACCTTACCCTTATTCTGCCTCAAGACTTGGAGCTGGTTAGGTAACCATGGTGATCCATAAGAACAAGTAGACGTATCTGCCCTTGTATTATTCAACAAAAAGACATCCTGCTCTATGGGGCCAGTGTTCCGAAAACTTCCTTCATCCTCGGCATACCTTAGTCTGTCAAAGATACATGACGGCAATCCTCAGAATTTCGCCATTCGAAAAGGGGGTGCGAAAATTTTGGCCATAAATGTGTGTCTGCATACAAATACTTAAGCTGTCAGAATGCAGACATATTGAAACAAAAATTATCAATGATAAAACTGCGTGTGTGTTACGAATTCTAATTACGAAAGATAATGTACTTTCTGCCCCTTTCCTAACTATGACGTTGGAGTATAATTTCTTATAAAAGTCTGCAAGTTGGTAAGCATGCTTTAATTTCTTTAGCATTTTGTGAATAATGTACGAACACAATTACATTGAAAGTTTAGGGTCTCATGGTGTCGAGTATGAAGCTGGGCGTGTTCTGGGATCTTGGACCGTATATAGTGTACTAGGCAGACAACGTAACAATTGCACACAGAGAGCGATTAAACAGAGAAATATATTTGTATATTTCTGAGTTACAAACCTGGGCGTAGTTGCTGGGCTACAAAATAAGTAATATAGACGCTTTCTGTATCATGTGCAGCATTGTGATAGATAAATACGTATATTATTAAGAGGTGGTGGTGTAAGATTGATATTCATTACCGTCGTCACAAGCCATTAGACTCTGTTCTGAGACACAGAAATCGATTGCACATAACCACACGTTATTTTTCAGTATTTGTAATATTATCCCAATATATGTTCCTTCAACTCGAATTGGGCTACATTCTTTTCGATATATTTAAACTCTTCAAATTGCTACGCATTATGGTACGACCATCATACACAAAACACGTTTTGACGTAAATACGTGTATATTTTAGGGTCAGTGTCATTCGGCAAAAAGTGGATCGAAAAAGTGGAACGAAAAAGTGTAACTGCATTGTTATGTTACCTAGGAAACTTCAATTGTTATTGTTACCTAGGGAACGTCAATTATTTACTCGGCATTATTGTTACCTACGAAACGTCACCTGTTTACACGGCATTATTGTTACCTACGAAACGTCACCTGTTTACACGGCATTATTGTTACCTACGAAACGTCGTCTGTTTACTCGGCATTATTGTTACCTAGGAAACATTTCATTACATTACCTTACATTACATTACACTACCTTACATTACATTACCTTACATTACATTACATTACATTACATTAAATTAAATTAAATTAAATTACATTACTTTACATTCAGCTACCACAGACCCATCTTAAGGGTAACTAATTCAAGTTAAATAAGCAATGTCTTAATCAAACTTATCTCAATTGTAAAGCATGTATAAAGGAAATAATTAGAATAAAGCCAATATATAAACTTCCTTTCCGCATAGACGTATTTACGTCTAATTCTCCGGAACCTTGGTTCCACTGACAACTTCTTACTTTCCCTTTCAGTCTGGCTTTATTTCTTTGTTCCTTGCTTACTTTTCTTCCTGTGTGCTTAATTGGGTACGTTATTAGAATGTTAAGTCTGTTTAGGGTTAGCCTTGCAGGTTGTTCGCTGTATATGATTTTTTCTTTTGGATTCTTCCTCAGGGAGTGGCGGCCTTGCAGCAACAACAAACCGGCCTCAGTTGCGGAAGAGGTAAGCTGCTTCAGTACTTGCTTTGTATCGTCTGCAGTCTTCCTGGAATACCAATTTAATTTTAAGCTGAATTAAAATTAAAAGTAATCACTGCGTTATTATCATTGGAAACTAATTCTGTCTTCAAACATTAATCGAAGACAGCGAAAATACTGACGTTGAAATGAGTTTGTGTAATTCAAGACACTGGTCTAATCGGGATTTGCTAGATTTATGGACTTTGTACACAGTCTGATGTACTTCTGTCCTGCTGCCATCCTCGAATGCTACCCATCTCCGTATGAATTATTTCAGTCTCATGCACCACTCTAGTTCTCGGTCGTACAAATGACCGTTTTTCAAGAAGTTCTCCCAACAAAATTCTCTATTCATTCTTTGTCTCCGTCGTGCTCAACCGATTGTCATAATGATACCACTTCCTCGTTACGTCGCTAACGGCATTTTCTGAGGTTCTGAACACATTATTTTCAGACGCTTGTAGTTTATGTCCTTCCATCAGAATAATGTGCCACAAGACGCTCTTTACACACGGAATAAATAGAGAAAGAACAGTCATTGTATGTATTGTTAGTGGTGTCAAAATTAAAGTACGGCGCGTGACGAAAGAAACAGGCTTTCAAGGTTCTGGCGACGACAGTGTGCCCACTTAACGTAAATTAAAACAGAGCACTTTGCATTTGCATATGTTTGCTTGCATTCGGAGCGTTAAGAACATTAATTGTCATAAGCTGGGAGTTTGTCATCATTCTCCTTCCCTGTTTCTAACGCTTCCTTTCAGAGCCATAGTTACTCTCGCTGCTCTATAAAATAACATGCAACTGCTTGTTTATACAGTATACCAACCTAACAATTACTTAGATTTAGTTGATTTCGCTCGCAGACTTAATGGCGCATGGCCCATGCTTGAGTACCTTAACCACTGACCATACAACACCATTTTAGTGTGATCCTAAATTCACTTTTCACCTGTGCAGCCAAGTTAATAACCTACTTTATTACAAAATCTTCAACTTTCCCATTCGTCAGAAGGAAAATCGGGTTGTAACGCCATGTGGACTTGTAGACACATTTTAGCTATTCGGAGGACACACTGCGTTCGTTTTCAGAGTTGATGTATTAATATTTAAGAGGAAGCCTTTTGGAAAGCGACATCTCGGGAGACCGTAAAAGAGATGTGATGATAAAATTAAGATAAATTGTGGGTGGAAGGATGCGTAAACTGGTTTAGGTTTACGTTCGGTGGTGGCTTTGAACGTTCAGATTCTCTTGCCAGAGGGTCTGTCAGTTTGTTAGTATTAGTCCCTCAGTAATCCCTATATGTAATAAGATTGATGGCAGCGTTTGAATGTAGTCACTTCGACAAAATGTTCAGAATAACACACTCACTTTAATGTGTTGATGTTGAAAATCTAAGATACTTTAACATTTCTGTCTTCGATGTTAATGCTGAAATATATTACCTAAAGGTTGTTGAAATCGTTTTGCATCACTTCCTTTAGGCCGCTTTATCTCTACACTTACGGAAGTGGACAGATTACGTTTTTTCAGAGTGCTCACTTGATGAGAGAGTTTTCATTCTGGAAGGATTCGACACCCCTGAGGTAGTGATAACATTTTGTATTGTGTTAGCACACAATGATAAGCGCAACCCTGCGAGACCATTGTTTTGCGCCCAACCCAAACATTTTAATCCTTGCCCAATTCAATGAAACACGAAAATTGAGCTGAAAATCCTCTTTCCAAACTGAGGTTAGCCAAGCAGATTTAAGCCTTTCTTTGGATTCTGGTCACACAAAAAAAAATCGAAAGTAAAAAGAATATATTATTTTCAGCGTAACATGTTTTACCTTTGTTTGTGTGTTAGACCTGTATATTGGATTATTGATTGGATGACTGTGATGTTATTTTGAGTTGTGACGCCGGAAAGCCTTGTGGGTAGATATCAATGTTTTGAAAAAGAAAATACTGTCAGACACAAGGATGGATAAAATATGTTTCTCCGAAACGTTGGTATCTACCTAGCAGTCTACACGGCGTCATAACCCAGAACATCATCATTATCCTCACCGCCGTGAAAGCCTCAAATCTCATATATTTGTAGGGTATACGACTACGTTGTTGTAGTCTAACCCCGGCCTAGATTATAGATTATAGTCGATACTTCCGTCTGATAAGTTACATGTGATGAAATTTGTGGGCTGGAGTTATTACCCAACGAATCTATTTCATCAATAAATCACATATGGAAATCGGAATTCCGTACTTGAGTCCTGTGTTTGTGGTGAAATCGCTTAGGGAACCTGACGCGTTGGTATCTCAACATTAACAGACTGTGTAATATAAATTAAGTAAAATCTGTCATGTTATCCGACGTCAGATTTTAAACATTTTATCATACTGATGAGTCAGACAAATTTGGCTCTGTGCTGACTCAACTGGTATCAGATTTTGAATGAAAATTTTAGTCGGGAGATTATATAGAAATCTCAGTTGGATGTAGAACATAGGTGAGCTGCTTTGACACATTGACCCTTTAAAACCCAATGCACCAACTACTTCAGTAATTAGTAACTCTTTATTTTGTATTCATGGGTTTCGTATGATTCTCTTTGTGGACAAGGATTATTTCCCTGAATGTCACTATCCAGTTGATCTTTGTAATGGTGAAGTGTTGTTTTCTCCGAGGTACGAACTGAAATTTTTAATATTATTTAGATGAGCTTCGGCTTCAGAGGTACAATGTCAGTGTGTCAGAGTTTACCTGGGTGTAGGTGGAAGCGAATGGAGCATTTGTCGAACAGAGCGGGAATTCTGACGACCAGACGTCGGTCGACGGGCGTCACTCGGAAACTATCCTATCCGCTGAGTGGCATCCGATGAGAAAACTCTTTTTTCGATTCTTGATATTGATTGAGGGACTTGCGGCAATAGTTCATCAGTTAATTTGTCCTTTCTTTATATTGGTTTCTTGCCGTGCTTACGAGCAGACTTTATTCCGGAAGTTACAAAGAATAAATAGAATTTAAATATGTTTAGCTAGACATGGCGTAGCGAAAGTTATTTGACGTCAAAATTCGCACTCTTGCCATTTGCTAATTTTCATCATGAAGGGTAGGGTAGATAAGACTAGGAAGTATTTGGTAGGACGAAATTGGACAAGGCTTGAGACTGGTTAGGCTACGTACGTATTTAGAATCTAAAATTTGGAAATTGTATTCCTGCATTTGCAGTCATGTTGTCACATAATGTCGGCAAAGCCGAATGTTATTAAAGTACCAGAACGAACTTTAACTTGCTGAGAGCTGTACAGCTTTGCTGTGAAGATGGCTCACGTGTACAAAGCAGGACTTGTTCTTTGTAATAAGAAAATTTGCATGCATTAGCTGATATGCGCAAGCAACATCTGAGACACTTTCATTCTTGTAACGAGTTGAAGATGGCAGTGCTGTGGTAGTCGCTGTGAAGTTTGGTGGTGGGTAATATCAAACTCGTTTTAGTAATCGAGAAAACACGGAAGAAAAGGAATGGGAGATTTGTGTAAATAAACAGATTAATGCGTTGATAAAAGGAGAAAGAGAGCATGGAACACAATATTGATTGATTTAGTGTTTAATTTGGTGATCAGTAAACCTAAATCAGATAAATGTATTCTAAGTTAATATTTAGTTTCAGATACTTAAGTAGACCTATAATCAAAAGTTTCCTGTCACGGAGAAAACATTATATCAGTTTCCAATATGTTGTAATCTTAGGTTGAATTTTATTTAAGGAACTTCTTTTGATTATACGTTTCTGTGACAGGGTATGCAATAATGTATTTTAATTATCTCAGACAAAGAAAGTAGATTATGAATGACATTATTTCTAAGCCATGTATATTGTACATAGCTTAGAAAATTTAATATGCATGTTATACTGATTTGTCATACAGTTTGTTAATGGGTCATATTTAAGAGTTTACGTTAAACAATTTATTTTTTTTAGTATGGCGTAAAATTTTTATTCGTTACGTTTCGACTGTGAAACCATTGATGAGATCAGAAAAAGTATACTTCACCGCTCTTTTTCACGTGAAGATAATTACATTTCGAAATGATTTTTTGTGTTTTTTTATAATCATTCTTTTCCCTTGAATGTTTTGCTGTGGTTATGGACAGAGGTATTTGGTTATTTTGTATGCTCTGAGGAAGGATTTAATTGGTAGAGTGTAAAGAAATAAGTTCTGAATTTAGCTACTGTGTACATATAATGGGGATTTTGAGAGATCTTTTAAACCAGTATGGAAGTAGGGGTTGTTTGAACACAGCAGAATCTGTGTAAATAATGCAACAGATCAGAATGCGTGGCAGGTTATGTAGAGGTGAACAATGTAAACGGGTTTCTTCTCTTAAGTATAGCCTCTGCACTACAATACATTAACAAAGGAAGCTGATGTATTACTAATTATATTGCCCTGTATCCCTTGTGAGTAGCGGCTGTCTGACTAATTCACGAACGTACTGGGGCAGGAAGTACAAGCTTATCCAAAAATATGTCTGCAATTTTTTACTAAACGAATTATTTAGACAACGCTGTACACACGTACATTACCCCTTATAGTTATATGTCTTACCTGCTTCAGCAGTCAGCAACTATTCAGTTTGTATTTATGGTTTTTGTGTGATTCTCACTGTGAATAGCGATTATTTCCCTAAACAGCATTAACCAGTTGATCTTTGTAATGGCTATTAGTTGTGTTTTCTTTACAGTATGAAGTGAATTCTTAAATGTTATTTAGACGAATTTCTGCTTCAAGGAATTTATGCGAGTCCGAAACACCGAGAAATTTTAAAGTTAGCACCTGTAGTAGTAAAAGTGCTGTGTCTTTAGGTCCTGTGTATTAAACGAAAAGATTGATTGATCTGGTAGCTGATATTTCCATTGAATCAGCAGACGTTTGCAGCTACTGTCAGAATATGTTATGTGGAATCGTTATTGCATGTAACTTAGGTACAAATTCAGCGTATTCTTGTGGGGAAAGATCTGTTTCTTCCACCCCTCTTGGGTGAGGGCGATAGGTATTTGTGGAGGACATCTGGTCCCGGTGGCAATATTGATCCAGTCTGGATGAACTGTTCTAAAAACATAAAGGAATGCCAGTTGGATAGACTTACAAGAAGGCTGTTTATGTAGTCTTTTACTGTAGCAGAGGCGGTGGAGAAATCTGTGAATGGTAAAGCAGACTTCGCTACAAGACTTCTGTTAATATAAATAAAAATTCAGTCTATCAGTTTTATAGGTTTTCGTCAAAATTGTTTTTGTTTACATGCCTTAAAGATTTAAATCTTCATTTGTGTGTGCTTGTGCATGCGTCCCACGACTTTGACCGAGATTCCATTTTTTAGAGGAGTCTTTCTCTTTGCTACAATGTCCAGACTTGCTCTAGAGTTTATTCGTAGTAAGTATTTACCTTTAACTTTTAACACATATTTGTGTATATGTAGTAGTCATCGCCCTTATGATAGAGGCAGCAAGGACCTCTGAAACGTCGGTAAACTTCTATCAGGCTACTCGGCGCAATAACTTAGAAGACGTGCATCTTCAAACTCACCGCCGTGAAAACCTCAAATCCTACAACCATCTTCATACTCGCCGACGTGGGAACCTGAAATCTTACCATTTTATACCAGTGACGGGATTAATTACTGGAACAGTTCGTTTGAGACTTAAAAGGAACATTTTTTCACCCGTGAGTCACGATTTCGTTTTTCGTTACTGCATTGCTTACATGATGGCGCTCTAAGATCGATTGTTCTGTTTTAATTTACGCCCTTTTTTTAAAA